TTTTTTTTATGCTTTCTAGATGCCTCTAGGTGGATGTGATTAGGAGATGGGCTTCCCTTTTCACTCTGCTTCCTGAGAAATTTCTAGTTGCCACTGTTGGTTGTTGTAACATAACTCAGGATTTACTTTTCAGCCTATTTCCTTTTCAGTCTGCCTATCCCACTTCACAAGCCCCGTTCAGGCCTTTTTCCTAGTGATAAGCAATTCAGGGTGGCTGTGGCCACTTTGCGTTGTCATTTTCAGTGGAAACTATCCCTTTAAATTTCAAGATTTGTGTGCATGCATATAGAACCCTCCGGTGGTGGGGGTGGGGTGTCCACTCACTCAGGCACCCCCTCTAGTCACCAGAATGGAAGTGCACAGACAGCGAGAGACCAGTGAAAAAATACCAAAAAAAAAGTGTCCACACCTTTATCTCCATGGTTCTTTCAGAAGTTCACATAGCTGCTCTGATTCTTCCCCCATTTAGTCTCTCCCAAGTTGGCAGCTCCGGGAGCAGTTGAATGTCTTGAGTTAGAAAGCAATGGATTTCTTGCTTCTGCTACAAATCCCCTTGGCTTTATGCCTTCCAACCTTCTCAATATTCCTTTATATGTGGCTCAGAGTTCTGGGACCATCCCCTGAGCCTGCTTGGTCCAGTATTCTGTGTTATTGCTGACTGAGCTCCTCACTGAATGTCTACTTGATCAGCCATCTTGTTTGTCCTACTTCCTTCTATTTGTATGTAAAATTTAAGAGAACAACAGAGTCCCTTTCCTACATTTTTGGGAATGCAAATTATTTGACAAATCTGAACAAGTATTTTTGACTTTACAAACCTCTGTCGATCTTCATCATCACTGCTTTCATATTCTGACTCTTTACTAGATAATTCCTCATCCTCATCTGGCAAAGGAGGTTCCTCAGGTGGCTGAGGCGATCCAGGTGGAAGGGGTGCATGCAATGGCATATAATCTTCATACTACACAAAAGAACAAAACAAAATTACCAACGGGGACTATATGTTATATAGAAAAAAATAAATCATTTCCATTCAGGCATGGAATTTAGCCAATTCCCATGCAAGAAATTAATGGATCTCTAGGAGATTACAATGTAGAATTAAAAAATACAATTAAGATCTATGTTAGAAAAGCAACCAAATTCTTAAAACACATTTTCTTCTGTTTATACATTAGCATTCAAATCACTTCCTCATTACTATTATTTATAAAAGTACTAAGAATGCTACAGAAAAATTAATACTAAAATAAAACTACTCAAGAGCACACACAACATACTAAATTATTGCTATATTCATTTATACATTGTTTTCTCTAAATGAAGCTATTTGAAATAAAATTAAAAAATTGGAAATTCCTGCTAATTATCTTCTAAGATGGCAAAATGTTCTGAGTATTGAACATAACAATCCTGGCAGAGGTGATAATGGCCTCTGTTCTTTCATATTCTAGCTCTCCCATCTCTCTGTTTTCTACTTCACTATTACCACCTAAGTTTACATTTATTACTTTCACAGTATATAGGATTGCTGAGATATTTTTAGCTTTAATAATCCAACTCATGAAGAATAATTTTGAATTTTGAAAATTTTATGATCTTTCTTACCAAGGGAGGTCGTGCAGTAATTGGTCCAAAAGGTGTGGGCAAATTCATTTTATTCATAAGATGAAGAACCTTAAAGTGATAAAATAATTAACATCATATAGTACAGAATGGTGGTTATAACTTACAATTTCTATTTTACAAACAAAAATTGTTATACAATTAACATTAATTACTGCTTAAGAAATCCCACAACAGTCTTTGTTATTCCAGAACAGCCTTTAAAAAATAATTCTAGAACAGGCTTTTTAAAAAATATTGGTATATCTCAGATTAAAAACTTCATTGCCGGGTTTTGGAGGCAGCAGAGCAGAGACAGGTACCACAGACTCAGTGGGGGAGGGGCTGAAAACACAAAGAATCTGCTTTCACAGAACAGTATCACAGCTCTGGATCTAGCAAAAGGTTCAGGGCATCAGTTTCCTGCAACC